GTAACTTGAAACTAGAAATGCCTTTATTCATGCAAGTCAATTTAACAATTACTCTCTCGTTTACACTTGGCTTATCCTCACTAAACTGAGCAATATGTTTCGTCCTTTCAAACGCACCGATACTATCATAGTCATTGCACAAGATACTTGAGTTGATGGGCGTCTTCTTCCTTGTGGATGACAACACCAACGACGACTGATTGATACCAGTTGATGAACTTAGCGGTGGATCAGAAGCTGTTGTTGCTCGGCTTTCAGATATTTGTCTAACTGCAAGATTACCACCACTGGTGTCTTTTACTATCAGCTCCGCTTTAGCACTATCATCTGATGATAGGTGGGCTACACGCTGATCAATTACACTGACGGTCTCACAAGTATGCATGCCTTCTGCAACTGCATCTGCGTTCAATTCTACTTCACGTTCAAGTTGTACAGAACCTTTATTTAACTTAGCAGTAGTAGGCATTCCCCTCATTTCATCATGATCAACCAAAGACAAATCTGCACTATCATGATCATTATCACAAATATTGAATTTACCGTCGACTTCATCATTTTCAAACTCTTTAATAACAGAAGTAGACAATTTTGATTCCTCCTCGCAAATCCTAAAAGGTTCTATATCTTCACTCTGACTAGTTATACCTTGTAAACTTGTGGAGTCAGAACTGCACTCTGAAGCAGTAACTCAATTCTGTGACACTCTATTCAACAATGGCTTACCAGTTGCAACTACAGACTTCTTCACCGCACCGTTATCGTCACACAATTCGGAGTCAGACCTGGAGTTTACATTTAGCTTATCACTGAACTTGCTCACTGGTTCACAGTTCACTTCTGTATGCACCTCTTGCAAACGTGTAAAACACAACCGTGTTTGTCTTGCATCTTGTAACTTATCTGTTGAGGATGTACTACGAAACCTGTTACACTCACTAGGTCTATATGCATTACTAGACATCATGGAGCCTTCTCGATATCCACCTCTCTGAGGCCTATTCGTCATCAATGATTGCGTTTTTCCCTCAGACTGCTCTATTCTAGGGGTGAGATTAAATATACTGGCAAACTTGCTCATAGATTGATTGACACAATTGTTTACCAGTTTCAGAATGTCATCGAACTTTGGATCGATGCCTTCATCCTCCATACGGGAGCTTATCTTCACCCACTTCCTTTGCAGTCGAGTAGGTAGGCGTCTTGCTATTACTTCTAGTATAAAACTCGAGTTGAGGTCACTCATGCGATTCATCGAAATCATTCCATTCTTGTAAATTAGCAAATTATCTAAAAACTCAGTGAGTGCCTGGGAGTCATCCTGTAATTGACCACCATTACCCTTAACAGCCTCGAATAATTTCCCTGCAATCATCGAAGGTCTTCCAAACCTTTGACGTAATATGCTCATAGCCTCGTAGTAGCCCTCTTTTGGCTTCATAAACTTACAGCACTGTATAGCTCTTGCAGCATCTCCAGTGCAATATCTCATCAAATACATTAACTTCAATTCATCATTTAATAGAAAACTACTCAACATGATCTCAAACTCCTTTACAAATTGTAAATAATCAGCCGGGTTTCCATCGAAACACCGTGGTTCAAATTTAGGGAGTTTGATGTTCCTATTATCCCTGAACGGCGAAACAGTAACATCAACCATGTCATGCTTAACATCAGACACATCGTTACAATTAACAGACAAGTCACCATGACTTACTTTCCTGTTTGCATCCAAGATGCTCTGTCCCTTCTTTGACCCAGGCATTGTTGAACTTGACCCAATTCCAAAAAAGTTCCAGATATTGCTTGTTCAAAGAGGACTTGACCGGCACTAGGAAAGATGAACGGTGACTATCCAAACTTTCACCAACTGACCAAATCCGTTTGAAACTGATTGTACCGTCAGAAACTGTCAGCTACGTCTCGAAAACCGTTAATGCCCAGCTCTTGCTGCACTCGGGCTCACGCTGTTCCTTGAAGTTTCTCAGAAACGCTTAGTAATAACGGACGAAAAACCAAAACACCAATTGTTGACTCGAGGATTCTTTATTGTTACACCAACATATAAACACTGTTACAACTAAGGCCTGTGAACAAATATTACAATAATAAATCACAATATTACTTCTGACGGTGTTTTACTCTTCTTTCTGAACAGCGACCGATGAGACGATGACTGTCGTATTGATGCCTCCGCGAAAATTGGGGAAGTTGGTTTTGAGCAAACAACCATGAATTGATCGTTCAATCTTCAACTGCATTAACAGATGCAGTATATGGTAAAGCACGCTGAAAATTCCATACCTGTACCACAAATACTGTTTGGAATAAAGCTGTTATTATTATTAATAATAATACTGCATATTTATATATGTATATGTTTTTTGTGTATGCGTACATTGATCGATTGATTTTTGTTTAAAATGAACTTTGCGGAAGTTTGTCGAAATTGTTGTTGTAGATATATTTAATAATGTCTTTGCCATGTAAGCAGCTGACGAGAAGGCAACGAGATAAAAGATGGTACCATTTCATTCTGCTAAAACTGTAGTTCTTGCTTTGTTCAAATTCATTAAGTGGAATAAATGTATGAAACGTATAAAACACAACCGTGTTTGTCTCGCAACTTGTAACCTATCTGTTGGGGATGTACCACGAAAGCTGTTGAACTCACTAAGTTTACATGGATTACTAGACACCATACAGTTTTCTCGATATCCATTTCCCCGAGCGTTTTCATCATTAATGATTACGTTTTTCTCTCAGACTGCTTTATTCTAGGGGAGAGATTCAATATACTGGCAAACTTGCCCATAGCTTGATTGACACTATCTTTGACCAGTTTCAGAATATCCTCGAACTTTGGCTCGGTACCCTCATCCTCTATACGAGAGCTAATCTTCACCCACTTCCTTTGCAGTCGAGTAGGTAGGCGTCTCGCTATTACCTCTAGGACGGAACTTGAGTTCAGATCACTCATGCAATTTATCGAAGTCAACTTATTCCTGTAAGTCATCAGATTATCCAAAAACTCAGAGAGTGCCTTGGAGTCATCTCGTTATCGACTACCATTACCTTTAACGGCCTCGAATAAATTCCCTACCATCATCGAAGTTCTTCCGAATATTTGACGCAGTATGCTCATAGCCTCAGAGTATCCTTCGTTTGGATTCATAAACTCATAGCACTGGTTAGCTCTTGAAGCAACTCCATTGCAGTACCTCAAGAAATACATCGACTTCATTTCATCCTTTATTGCAGGCCCACGCAACATGACCGCAAACTGTTACAAACTGTGGATGGTCAGCTGGGTTTCCATCATACTACCATCACTGAACTTGACCAAATAACCCAGAGAAGTTCCAGATAACACTTGTCCAATGAGGACGGGCAGACACGAGGAAAGAGGAACAGAAACTACCAGAAACTGTCAATGTCCAGCTCTTACTACGCTGGACCTCACCCTGTCCCCGGAAGACTTTCAGAAACAATTGGTAATAACCGACGCGAAAAACCAGAACACAGATTGGCGACTCGAGAATCCTTTATTCTTACGCTAAAATGTAACCAGCAATGAGGTTATTACACACAAGGTCTAAGAATAAATGTTATAACAATAAATCACAATAATACTTCTGATATTTTTCTGTCTTCCACCGAAAAGCGAATCATGAGACGACGACTACTAGTTTAAGAAAGATACTTGAGACCACAGCTTTTATGGTTAATATCATTGCACCCACACTGGCTAGAAGAGACGCCAACTCTTTGAAAATTTTCCAAAGACGGTCAACAATAAGGGTGGTTGGTCTTCAAGGCAAACCATATAATGAAAAGCTAAAGAAATTAGGCCTATTGACGCCTATCTACCACCGGCTTAGAAAGGACTTGATTACTGTCTATACAATTAATGCCCAGAATCACTCAAACAAAGGTTTTCTGCCATTGAGTAGGCATAGGCTCCCTCGTGGAAATCCCAGAAGGATAGCTCACCAGAGGGCAAGGCCCCGGATGCGCTCCCATTTCTTTTCACTGCGAAAGTGCCATCCCTGGAATTCTATGCCGGAAAATGTAGCTATGGCGCCGTCTGTGGACTCCTTTAAGCGAAGGCTAGATAATTATGCAGTGACACAAGTACTGCGTCCAAATGGCCTATCCCCTTAAAATCCCATACACCACTCAGAGGTAGACAACTAAGTTCGTCGTTTTACTTCTTTACATTCTCTCCCGTCTTATTCTCATGACAACTATAACTACTGAACTTATTATCCTTATCACCGATATTATATATATCAACTTCGAATTTAATTAGCTATCTGGTTTTACATTTTCTTTATTTCTTTTTGTCTTTTAGTTTGATCAACCTACGCTAATTATATCTATTATTGTTTCTTTTCTTTCGACGACGATACCGTAGGACTATCTGGTGAAAGGACAAACTCCACGGTAGCAACAAAGTCTTAACACACCGCATACTACAAGCAATATATAATTAATCTCAGCACTACTACTTTTTGAGTCAGCCATAGCTATAACAGTCGAATGGCAGCACGAAATGCACAGAAGTTTACTGAAGATCAAGAACCTTTACCTGACAATCCAGAAGCGATCACAAAGAAATCAAATTGGTTTATACTAGCTCGTAAAAACGATATTGGAGTGGATGTCGCTTCAAGTTTTAAGCTCAAAACGGAAACTGTCTTCAAAGGTTATGTAATAGGATAGAAACTGAGGACTAAAAGAATATTTTCCGACAAGGACAGCTGCGAAATCCTTTCACCAGATGTTTTTAAAACTACGTTAAACGTCAAATCAAAATCAAACGGATGAAAAATTAATAAAATATGCAGTTCGGTGCAAATTGAAAGTTGCCATGGAAAGGCGGGCTTTCACGTGACTTCGTTACTTACTCGACCTTGTTCGTCTACAATCGGTCATATATTGGGTTCGTTCTTTTTTAACCGTAGTCGCTTTCCTGTGTTGTGTCAAACAGCAACATGATTGCCCGTCCGTCTAACACCACTCTTGGGCTCTTTTTTAGATCGTCGTTCTGGTCCCAAAAAGTTGTACAAGCTCCGGTCCCCTTATCCCACGAACGGAAACTTACTTGCAGCAATCAGGCCTTAAAAAACATGTCTGTAATTCCACCCAATGACTCTATCAGAAAAACAGCTCATGTTAAGTCAAGTGAAGAATACAGCTTGATGCGCGACAGAGCCCTAAGCAACCCTAAGGAATTTTGGTTGGAATATGCCATGAAGTTCCAATGGCAAAAACCACCTACCTTCGATAAATGTCTGAGTTACAATTTCGACTACCGGAAAGGGCCAGTTTTTGTCAAGTGGTTCGAAGATGGAAAAACAAATATATGTTACAATGGTTTGGATCGACATGTTGAAAATGGCTTAGGTGATAAGATTGCAATTCTGTGGGAAGGCAATGACCCAAATGATACATGTCGTCTTACCTTCTCTGAGGTGCTGACCAAGGTAATTATATTAGTAATTGTATTAAACTTACGTGGTTACCACAATATCACTTCACCGAATTATGCAAACTATTTGTTTATGTTTGTCTTTTTAACGACTTATGTCTAAAACTTAGTACTAAGTCAATATGCCTGTAAAGATAGTTTTTTATGCCTGAAGATGCATCTGAAGATCTTACCTAATTAGCTAAGTAGTTCCTAATGGCTTACCACCTTATGAAAATTTGAGTCACTCACCTAATTTATTCCTTTTATGACGATCTATCAGATAACTAGCCTTAAATGTAATAAGGTACGACAAATTGACACCGAAACTAATATGGAAAGTAGATTTAACCACGATTCTTCTCGTACTAATTTGGGGAGGATAGGGAGAGAGGGCTGTGACTGCTATTCACAAGGGAGCATGAATTGTTACCAAAATAAAACACCCATGGAGACTTTCTATAATGCCTGGTTACTTTAAGAGTTAGCAGTTGTCTGTACGTAATATTTCAGATGTTTCACTTTGGAAGTTTATCTGAAGTATGTTAGTAAATGGCTGTATTATATTTTTCATAGTAGGGAAGTCTGCTACATTTTTCGTGGTACTTTCAGGCCACATACGGGTGCTCTCCGTCACCCATCTGTAACATCTACTTGTATCGCTAAAATAGATCTAATCAGTTCTCATACTATTGAGTTACGCATTGTTTAAGTTGACATATCTTTTGTATTCATCATTGTTACATAAACTTGTAGCATTTGTGAAACTGTCTTCATTAATTGGTTGCGAAACCTCGTTCTGTTCGTCTCGAAATCTGTGATATTATTTTGTGAAAAAAGTCAGAACCGGTTGAGTAGTTTGTGCTATCAAATTTTTTTGTTTTTTTGTTTTCCAATGAAGTGTTTTTTTGTATATTAGTAAGTCAAGAATAAAAAGACTCACCTCGTTTTCCGTTAGTGGGTAATTACAGCATTTTAATTGAATAGATGTTTTTAGATAGGTGCACTGTAAACGTTTGTGTATGCTCCTTTTCTCTTACCACTGTTTTTGTCCAGCTGTTCGACCTTATCCAGGTTTTTGGGAAATAAATTATGTAAGGTTATGGGATGTAATTTTGCTGTGCATCGTAAGCTGTAAGTTTATGATACAATCTAGATATTTGAACTTGATAAGGTCTATTCTAATTTTAATTTATTGAGTATCATTAGTTTCGCGTTGCAGATCTCTTATTTATGTAACGCATTAATCTAAATCATATGTAATTCATTTAGAAATAACTGTTGCTGGTGTCTGCTTAAGTTTGACTTCAACTTGACGTTTTTTATTCGGATGAGGTTGTTTTGATGATTTTGTTTGTAAGTCTGCGAATTGTGATTGGTATTAGCAAAAAACTTTTTATCTTGTGATCACTCATATAGGTTAAACGAATTGCAAAAATGCTCGAAAACCAGGGTGTTCGAAAGGGTGACTGCGTTGCCATTTATATGCCCATGGTTCCAGAACTATTAATGACCATGTTTGCATGCACTCGTCTTGGTGCTATACATTCAGTTGTATTCGGCGGTTTCTCTGCTTCTGCGCTGGCTGATCGAATCATGGACGCCGGGTAAATATCTTTTTCTAATTTCTGTTTGATCATGTGTGTGTTTTGTACAAATGTGGTTGGTATTTTGTTTCTTCCCATCATTACGGGGTTACAGAATTCAGTTTACTACTCGTCTAGTCATAAAAGATGTTTACACAGGTTGGAGAAATTTTAAGAATGCCCGAAAACCTTGGCTTTTGACGGGAAAATTGTAACTAGTGGTTTGTAAATTTCAAGTTATTTGAGAAGCTAAGATAGAATCGATAGCCTTATTACGGATTTCTTCTTACGTATTTGATGATACAGTATCGTAATAAATTAATAAAGCGATTCGAAAGAATTTAACTTTCCTCGTCAATAGCAACCTGTTAAGTAAGAAAACTGACTGTTGTCTTTGGAGTTATGGATTCGATCCCCAACTATGGTGTAAGGGTACAAACCCTGCTAAATGACCTGAATATCACTCACACATGCTATTTCATATGATTGATGCAATGTAGTTGATTCATTTATAGGTCTTGCATCTCCTAATGTAATCCTAATGACATATATACATATCCTTGTATGTAGAGTATTCGGCTGAAGAGTTTCACCGAAAATTGATGAATTTAATTCTTTTTTGCTAATCCTTGTTGCTTGTTTTAAATTCGTATCGGGAAGTGTTTCCAAAACGCACCGAGGTTTGTATCAGGTAGTAGTATGGCATTTACACGATAAATTTTATGAGTCACTTGATGCATGAATGTGTGCATAATTCAAATACAAAAGCAACCAAAGAGACCTAAATACTCACTATGATGACCTTTCTGTCCACTGCAGGTTTAGATATCAACCGAAACAGTTCATTCAAGAATTGTGCTTAGAAGTTAATATTTCATTTAATGTAGTAATATAAGATGTATAGTACCAGTGAATATATGCAATTCGATATGAAATTAGCGACTGATCAGTATTCATTGTTTTGTCTATTATTACGATGTGGTTCTGTGACTCATTTCATTGAGAATACAACTTTCAACCAATAGGTCACGAGTTGAAATCCCGTACATTTATCAAGGCTTAGGAGGCTGTGTAGTGCTTTGGCAAACATGTAGTTGTCCAGATATACTGAGTGGGGCCGAATATCATAACAACTCTGTTTTACACGAATTATTATCGGCAGTGGACATGAATATAGCTATCCAAATTCAATAGTTGAGAGAGTTTGAACTCTGAATATTCCTGTGAAACTTATTTCTTGGTTACAAGACTTTAACTCTGCTACCAATATAAATGTGTCACATGTGAAGATAATTTCTTTCATAAACAATTGGTTTTCAGTGAACAGACTGGGTAAATCTACTAATGGCATCTTTATTTATCTACTTGATACTTGTTCAAAGAGTATGTTAATTACTAATAACCTTGTTGAACTGAAAAAAAACTACCTTGATCATTTTGGTATTAGTCTGAAGACAAGATTTCTTCCTGTCTTCCTATGAAAAGGGCAATTAATTTTTCCGATTTGGTTGTAATTTGCAGTAAAACGTACTTATGGCTAGGTAATTACTTCTTTAAAACGAATTAAATGATTTCAACTATTTAGTATCGTTCTACATCTTCAGAGTGTGAAATGGTGCTGGTTTGTCGACATCGCACCAAAAAAGTCCCCATGATGTATACGTAAATCATCAGGTTATTTGTCTGTTATCAACTTTGTTAAGAACTTTTGCTGAAGTCTAAGACTGCATATCAAGTGAGAAACTGATTTGATTTGAGTGCTGGTTAGTGGTCTGTGGTTATAATTATGGAGTGTCCTCGCTTTGACTATAAATCAAATCCAAGGTGTTACCTAATTAATCTGTCTAAGACACTATTGGATTTCTCAAGATCGGAGTTAATATTGGTCATATTACGGTATAGTTTGAAAAAGTCATAGAGCTCTTCAATATTTTTTATGTAACTGTTTCTCTTTTCTTGGAGGCTGTGTTCTGCTGCATTTCTCTCTCTCTCTCTTTCCTCTTTTAATAGCTTCAGGATTATTTTCTAGTTTATTTGTTATCGCAAATATCCTGAACTTGTGTTTGAATAAATAACTATATATTATTTGATTCTTTATTTCATAGATGATTTTTTATAAATCTTACGTTGTATGGTTAGGTCTTGAATTAACCAGTTTCACTCAATTTTTCCCTTTATTTAGGTGCAAAATTCTAGTCACTGCTGATGGAACGTGGAGAGGGTCAAAACTTATTGAGCTCAAAGCGATTGCATCCTCTGCAATGAGTATGTGCCAAGAAAAAGGCTATTCTGTCCAACGATGCATAGTATTTCAACATGTTACTGCTGTTCCACCCAAAGCTACAAATGGCATAAATAACTTTGAGAGTAAAGAGGGTGTTCGACCGGCTTCAGGGTAAGTTTTTAGGGGGAGGGGAGGGGTATTTCTTTTTCAGGATTAACATTCAGTCTTGCCACACTTGTTACAACTAATTCAAAACGGTATGTAACTGTATGCTCTGTGCACCTATTATTCTTTCTCTACACATCTAGCTGTAGTCGGTCTATCTAATGTCGTTTTTTTAAAACTTATCTTTATAATTTCATTTATTTGAATCTAAGCATTGTTTCACACTGCAGTTCTTGCATTTTTCAAAGTGTGTGAAGTAATCATTTTTCTCTCGGTGGGATGTGATATTGTTTCTTGTCGTATTTTTGCTAAACTATATAGCTTGATTGTGCGTCTGTTTTCGTTGTGCTGAATTGATCGGAAGATAAATTGCATTTATGAAAGGATGAAGATTATTTGTAGTTCATTTGGATGATTTTGATGTTGTTAAGTCTTCTCTAAGATTTCTGGTTTAATTTTGAAGCTTTCGTTGTTCTCCCAAGCACAACACCTTCAGCGTTGACTTCATTTTTAAGTTTCAAGTCAACTTGACTAAGGATTTAAATTTCCTGCACTTCATTTGGTAGAATGATATATATTACTGCTCTTTAAACCATTTAAGCGTCTTAAGCTATGACTCACGCTTGATGATACTGCCCAAGTACGTAGTGAGTGTATGCTCATGCTTATATTCACAAAACTTAGTGTAATTAATAAAATATAAATCATAAAATACTGAGTTCAGTTAGAGAACCATCGAAAATCAGTGAGTACTGGGCAGCCGTTTCTTCCTTGTTTGGAACTCTTCAACAGTATGCGCCTGTGATCCCACTAGGGATCGAATCCAGAAGCAACTGCCAGCCAATCTGAATATACAATAACTTTATTTATTATCAGTGCTCAGTGTTTAATTGATCAAATAAATTTTCTGCCACTAACTTATCCGACATTCGTAGACTCGGAGTTGAAACATTTAAACGTCTATAACCATGTAATTCAGAGGAAAGTGGTAACTTTTGTTCGGTGAGTTTCTGGAGTCGATCAAGTACTGCAGCCTATGTATCATATGCTGGGCATTTCATCATTCTGTTCTCATTATACTTTACTATAGTGATTTCCTGTGTTTACCCATCAAGCGCAAAGTGGTTCATTTGACATTTAAGTAGTGTTTATTAATACTTCATAAAAATGTCCTGGAATATTGTCATGAGTGGCTTTATTAAATGGGATTGAACTTCTTATAGAGGCCGTTACATGATTGACAGTGTTTTTTTTCAAAATTTAGAAGTCGAGTTTTTATTGCACTCTGATGAAAAAGGTGTTTAATAAACAACTAAATTTCTGGTCTTTACTTTTCTATTTTTCTTCTCTAAATATCTTGTCTGTTTTTAAAGGCTTTTTATCATCATATGCTTAGTGTTCAAAATTATTCCATATTCTTTTGATGTTTCTATCGGTAAACGTACACTAGTTCACTTGACTGGCATTGAAGTAAGTTAACATGTAGTTTTAGTACATGTTATCTGCCAAAGCCGTAGATATTTAGTAGTAATATATTATCAAATCTAAATTTTGTGTTTGTGTGCGTGTGTATGTATAGTAAAGCAAACACCTGTTGCATACATAGGTGTAGCAACTGTAACAAATTGTGAATCACTGTTTTAACTTTAGGCATAAAATTGTCAGCATATCATTGAAATGCAGGCCAGGGGTAGTATTTGATGCATTCATGCTACATCTTCAACTGAAACTTGGCAACTTTTGTTTTTTGCCATTGATTTCAATTTGGAACTATATCTGGCAACGTTGCATATTCGGCTGGATGCTACTCAGAAAGTCGTCATATACATCTCACTGAAACTTATCCAAGGTAACTATCTTTCTGCATGTTGTGTTGTCAAGTCATTTCCAGGGCTGGCAAAAAGTGAATCGTATGGGAGTCACTGGGTCGGATAACATTCATGGCACACATGTCTAAGCCAACATCTCAAGAGGACATCACTTATTTCAAAACACATTCCTCACTTTAGAATCCCCATGAAGTGTAAGTAATCGTAGATGAGCGATATGATCAAACAGAAACAGAATGGATTCTTTATTTTGCATTCATTTTGTCTCAATCTTTCACAATCTCTTACATTACTATTATTATTATGATGATTATTATTTTAACTTCTTCATCGTGGTTGTTTACAGCCATTTATATGCTAATGTAGAATTTTGTAGCTTGAATTTCAGCATATATTTATGCAGTGTGTTTATTTCTGCGCAGAAGTTTTTATAAGCTGACATCTGTAAAGAAGTTGCTTTAACTTCTGTTTTACAATGGTATATATATAACAATCACCTAATAATTTTATTTAGTTTGTGAGTATATGTCGCTGCTTTCATAACAACATATCTTACTGACATTACTGTGATTTGTTATCTAAATTTTTTTTCAATATTTTTAATTTATAATTATAATTTAACAGGTTAAATGTTCCAATGGAAGATGGTCGTGATGTTTGGTGGCACCAGTTGATCAGTAACATACCTGAAAATGTTGATTGTCCTGTTGAATGGATCAATGCAGAGGATCCATTATTCATACTTTATACAAGTGGCAGTACAGGACGACCAAAAGGTGTTGTGCATACCACAGGTGGCTATATGGTTTATGCAGCTACAACATTCTTTTATTCATTTGACTATCATGATGATGATATTTATTGGTGTACTGCTGACGCTGGGTGGATCACGGGTGAGTTGCACTAAGTTTTTTCCTCTGGGTTGATTGTTTTAACTTTTTTGTCTACAGTACAGACCTTTGACACAGTATGTTAATCTGAAACACGTAAGTTTCGATTCGACGATTATTGTTGTTTTCCAGAACGAAGTTCTTTTTTATCAAACCAATACTACTACAAACACGAGAAAACCAGACAGGCTTTAGACCAGAAAGAGGGTGTATTGATGATATCTTCACCCTTCGACAGATTCTAGAACATATGCATTCCTACCGGCGTCCAACAATCATTATATTTCTTGACCTAAAGGCGGCATTCGACTCTGTCGACCGAGAGGTACTCTGGCAATGCTTGGCCGTAAAGGGAATGTCGACAAAATACATTGCACTGATTAAGGCACTCTACTCGAACTCAAGCAGCCAGGTGAGGGCTTACGGCGAGTTGTCATCCGAAGTGGTGACGACTAGTGGTGTCCGTCAGGGATGCCCATTATCCTCATTTCTATTCAATTTCATCATAGATGTACTGATGGACTTAACCCTAACTCACTTCGGAAACACAGAGATTGACTTCCTACCAGGGAATAATCTCGTTGACTTAGGATATGCAGACGATATAGTCCTTCTAGGCGAAGGCGCTGAAAAAATGCAGAGTCTTCTAAACACCTTGAGCTGCAATCTACGAATGTTTGGCATGCGATTCGCTCCCGCCAAATGCAAGTTGACGTTACAGGACTGGACTACACCGACTCCTAGATTAGAAATAGGGAGTAAAGTGGTAGAGCACGTTGGTCGCTTCATTTATTTGGGAAGTACCATCAGCCCCAACGGGTTGATCTCTGACGAAATTTCAGTATGGATACAGAGGGATGGTTTCGCATATGCCAGCCAGTTCACGCCGTCTCTGGCGTAGACGTGATATCCGACTGGCTATCGACCAAAGGGCGGGTGTACTGCTCATCAGTCCGCTCCGTCCTCCTTTATGGCTGTGAGACCTGGCCATTGAGAGTGGAAGACATGAAAAGATTAGCTGTCTTTGATCATAGGTACCTGGGCTTTATCTCCTGTGTGAAGTGGTATAATAAGGTGAGCAATATTGAGGTTAGGCGTTGAGTTCTAAGTAAACAGGGGAAATCAATCGACGAAGCTGTGAAGTTACAAAGACTGAGATGGTTAGGACATGTGTTACGCACGCATGACTAGTCATCGTCTTCCTCGACGGGCAATGTTAGCTGATATAGGGTCAGGCTGGAAAAGAGCTAGCGGCGGTCAAATCAAAACATGGCATCAGTCAGTGAAATCCGCAACAGTTAGTTTAACCCACGTAGGGAGGTATAGACTTCCGGGTTGGGGTCTTCGGGACGGTAAAAACTAATGGTTGGAAACAATTTGTAATATGGCTCAAAATCGTTCTCAATGGCTGGCGCAGATGCATCCACTCCGTGACTTATAATTTCCAGTGAAACTATATTGTTCTTTTTTATTACTATTCCTTTGTCTCACACCTCTGTTTATTGTCTCCATTATGCATTTCTTCTGCTTTCTTTTCTTGCTTTTTGTGGAGTGTGGCGACTTGAACTGCCGCACGTAGGTGCAAATTTCTATGTCGAAAACAGACAATACTACTTGCTAAAAGAAAAAAAGTGATATTTTCATGGGCGTGTTTACTAAACATGAAGTCACAGAATTCTCAGCACTCTGCTAATTTTTCACAATCATTACTCTTTAACATTCAAGGGTTCTTAGGTTAGACAACCTAAATCTAACCAAATGACCTGGACCAATAGTCAGAGATTTCGGAGATATTGCTCCGATGCTTTTGACCCAACCATCTGTAGGTTTTTTCTAACCTCTTACTCCAGTTAACAGTAATCTTTGGAAATGGCAGTCCTTGTATGTGTTGGGGCTTAAAGGTACAACCAAAGAGCCCTTTCATTCTTTTCGACTCCCATAATCTACCATTAAAATCATCTTGTAAGATGATTACACCTGAATGTCTGACTTTTTGCTCATCCTTTATGTTGAGCTACAGTCGATGGGTGCACAACTAGAGACTGCAGAGAAAACACTGACATTGATTACAATTCCTCCTAGTGTAACGACAGAAGACAAGGGCCAGGCAACAGATCGCCTGTTGAGAAAATCAACTGATATTTATAGATGCTTATGTGCATCATTATTCGTTATTGTTCGCAGACAGGTAACGTTTTCTGATCGGTTGTTCTCCTGTTGAAGGTCATTCTGTCATCTCTTTGTTGCCATTTCTTAGGCACTCCGTTGATATATCTACTAATCGTATTCGCCCACATAGAGTCTGCTGTGATTGTTTGTTGAGTTCCTCAAGGTTAGTCATTGGTCTTGTTTTTTCTCATGACAAAGATTTGGGACGTAAACATTGACGTAAATTACTGTCTACCAATTTTGGCTAGCAGACGGCTCTCACCACACTAGTTCTGACAGTACCATTTGACTTCAAGCTCACTTGAAGGATGTCAATCAGAAGCTAATCAATCTTTGTACCTCCTATCCCAGGAATAGATGCTATATATATATATATATATATATATATATATATATATAGTCTGTGGAGACAGTTAAAGAGTTCTTTTTACCTGGTAGCAAGTCAATTTCCAAGATGTAATCAAACGAGATCACTGCCATTAAATGTCTAAAATCAAGTAGTAGTGGTGACATTGAGCGTCCCTGGTCCTACACATTTCTTGTTCTTACTTCAGACAACAACTCCTTATAAGCTTTAAAATGACTGTATGAGTTGGAGCAGTGTTTTAGCTACGACAGTGTACTTTTTTCATTTCACTGACAGTTAGACAAAACTTGTCAACCAATATAAGGGCATCAATAAAGGTCAAAGTAGTTTTTCATGGTTTGAGTTACGTATTCGTTAACTTCGCCAAACCGAAAATCTGATCAACGTATGTACCGTATGTATGTATCCAATCGCCTTCAGCTCTTCTTCCTACTTCTTATACGTGTTTCGTCCTTGTCTAAGACATCTTGAGTGATGATAATATTCGACTGTTGGCGAAGTTTAACAGCGTGCATAGTGAAGTATATGGTAGGAAATGTTATATTTATCATTTTGAAATGATTTGTAATGAAGTTAACTAAACTGCACGTCATAAATTTGTCGAAAATAAGTGGATATCTAAATATCTGCAATTTACTTATTACAATTCTTTCAGGTCATTCATATGTTGTGTATGGACCTTTTTTAAATGGTGCAACAAGTGTAGTATTTGAAGGTATTCCAACATGGCCTGATCCAGGCCGGTGTTGGGCTATAGTAGATCGTTACCAAGTCACGAAATTCTATACAGCTCCAACAGCAATTCGTACTCTTATAAAAGCTGGTGATCAATACGTTAAAGGTCATAGTCGTAAATCTTTGAAGGTGAGTTTCTACGTTAAATTTCTATCTTATTCTGGGTTCTGCTAGTGAATACTGCTTGTGTTCAGATATAATTGATAGTTAGCATTGGTTCAAGTAACTTTGTAATAATACTTCAACTTAAAAAAATTTAGTAGAAATGTGATTATTTATCATTAAAGCTAGTAGATTTCAAGTTCCAGCATTCATAAACTACCGCGTTAATTTTATACTGTTTATCATCATGCTGCAAATATCCCTTTACATTCAAGTTGCAAACTCCAACAATCTGTTGACGCATAAAAGAACCTGAATTCTCACTCCAAAAGCCTAAAGTATAACTATTTGGAGTTAGTTAGTAGTCATTTGATGAAGCGTATTAAATATGAGAACAGACCTACCGTTTGAGTTTGTGATGTAACCATGACCTGACATTTTGTCCTTTGGTGTTAGATTTTAGAAGTCAGTCGTTAAAAAACCCTGAAAACCATGACTTTGTGTCTATTTCTATCTGTTTGCAATCTCCAAGAGTCTTATGTTGCATGTCAGACTTAAAAGTGCGTTCAAAAAGTCAGTAGGTTTACCAGTGAACTATTTTTTTTCCTTCACGTTCCCCCGTGGAACATAGGACTTCAAGCTAGTGACTTGAAGTTTCTGTAACAGTGTTTATTTTACAGGATGGGGTTGCTAGCCTCATGCCCAACCTTTCCTCTTTGCCAGCATTATTTCTGGCTCAGCGAGGTAAAGGAGTGCGTCTGTGGCCGGGGATCGAACCCCGGACAATGTGCATGGTCAGCGGTCGTCCTAACTGCTATGCCACCGACGCAGTAAACTATGGAAAGATAAATTTCAGTCAATACACTAAAGAATACACAATAGTACTGGTTACTTGCCAGTACTTAATTCGTGTACATTTCATCCTTTGTTGTGAACTAGCAATACAATTTATATATATATATATATATATATATATATATATATATACCTTTTACTATTTATTTGTCTTGTGTAGATATATATCTGATAATTTTAGACTGTCCTAATTACATCTTTATCACCTTGGATATTTATAATAATTACAGTCATAGATTGTCATATACACACTTCGAAGTGCTCGTTTTGTGGAGTTTTACTCTTTAGAGTTTTGTGACTTAAGTTCCCTGGGACTATTTATTCCTAATTAAGACATTGCGTTTCATCAACCGTACCGAATTCCGGCTGTTCACTATTTATGTTCCCCTATTAGATGGTATGTCTTGAAGCAACCTCGAGTCAATTAAATCACTACTCTGTTCTATAGAGCGTTTTATTAGTGTTCACATCTATTTTCTTTAACCTTCAATGCATTATTTATTTTTGTTTCTTAAATCTATGTCAGGTCCTTGGTACTGTAGGTGAACCAATCAATGTGTCTGCTTGGCTATGGTATTATAATGTTGTAGGTAATGGTCAATGTTCTATTGTGGATACCTTTTGGCAAACAGAAACTGGTGGGCACATGATTACTTCACTTCCTGGAGCGAATTCAATGAAACCAGGTTGTGCTACTAAACCTTTCTTCGGTGTTGATGCTCGTATTCTATCAGAGGAAGGTGAAGATTTGACTCAGCAAAAGGGTGTAGATGCTGAAGGCTTTTTAGTATTTGCTAAACCATGGCCCGGAATGATGCGAACAATAAACAGAAATCATGAACTCTTTGAAAGTACTTACTTCAAACGATTTCCTGGTTATTATGTTGCCGGTGATGGTGCTAGAATAGACAAAGATGGAGACTTTTGGATTACAGGTTTGTACTTTTTTTTAAAATTTTTGGTATGATTTCATAAGTTTAATTTTAAGCTAATAAATCTTATATTTAAACACTGTTCCACTTGTGTGGAATATAACTTTTACAGAATTTGTTATTATACGGTTCTGACGAAGTAACACAACTTCACATTGAAAAAATTCAAATTAATTTCCATATTACATGGGTTGATTTGATCTCACATACCCATTCCCAACCTATTGTGTGATTATTCTGTTGAATTTCTAGATTCTCCCGTCGATTGATTGGACCGAAGTGCTTGGTCTCAGGTTGATATTCGGCTTCTTATGCAGATTCTTCGACGATGTCTGGGCATGTAATTAGAATTTAATTGGTGGATGGTGACTAGCAGTGGAATCCAGGATGCACATTTTGTCCTATTTGGGACTCATCAGCTAGAAGCCCAGACATCATGGAAGCATCTGCACTAAAAGCCAACATGTCAACCTGAGACCGAGCACTTCGATCCAATCAATCGATGGGAAAATCTAAAATTCAGTAGAATAATCAATATGACTCGTTGCACAAGAGGTGGCTCTCTTGTCGCGCAAGTGGTCTAGTGGATAACGCTTTGGCGTTTGAAACTGGGCACTGGGTTCGAGCCCCGGTGGGAATATCATCACTCACTGGGAAATGCAGGTACATCCAGCTGGTGGACGATTAGTCCTAAACAGGACGAAATGCACGGTATCCTGGATTCCACTGCTAGTCACCATCCACCAATTATATTGTGTGATTATAGGCAAGTGAATGCATTGCAATTGGCCGAGTTTGTTTTTCAAGATTACTTAGTGTCTCAGAGTCAGTTATCCTAGTGTAACAACAGAAGACAAGGACCAGGCAACAGATCGTTTATTACGGAAATCAGCACGTATTTATATATATTTCATGTACATTATTATAGCTTATTCAAGCAAACACAGTCTTCTGATTGGTTGTTTCTTGCTCAGGGTTATTCTGTACTGCTTGTGACTGGTTTCTCAGAAAGTTAAGTTATATATCTGCGAATCGTATTTGCCCACGTCAAGTCTGCTGTGATTGGTTGTTGAATCAGCCTTGTTCATATTTTCTCAGAGCCAATATTAGCGACATAGACATTGACCTAAATTAATGTCTACCAATTGGCTAGCAGCCTGCTCTCACCACACTAGTTCTGGTTTTCTTCAACTCAAGATAATTTTACTTTCATTCTTTTTGTTGTCTGATTTTTTGTCTAATGACCTAATGAAAATGTGTCATATGGAGTAATTAGTCGGTCAGTAATGCTAGATTACGAAATGATAATCTTTTTCTATCATGTGATTATGATGGTTTGTTAGTTAGAAATTTCATTTGGTGAAGGCATTTTTTGTGTAGGACAAGTATTGCACTCATAATATTTTTCATAAAATATTAACAGAGAATGAGTCTTCATGAGATTACATCAGCTGACTTATTATTATTATTGTCCCCTTGGGTTCCTAGTGGAGCATAGGGCTTCAACTGCACGTCTCCACTTACTTCTTTCTTTTGCTGTACTTTTCACCTGCATCCATGTTAGCCCATACTCTTTCAACTCCTCTTCACATGATCTGCTCAATGTCACCCTCGCACTGACGTCCCGTTCGCCGCTTCGCTTTCAGCCTGGTTCCACTCGACCAACGGCCTGACGCTCGCGCGATGTCACGCAGTGGCCTCCTCAGCCGCGAGTGTCCAATCCATCTCCACTTTGTCCTGCATATTTGTTCTTGTTTTGTTTCTTCCCATAGTTTCTTGTTGGTGATTCTTTCCGGTCCGGCCATCTGATCTTCAGTATAGAGCCAGCGAAGACAGTTGTTGATAAATGTCTGCAACAGGCTGTTGAAAATATTCTTTGTGACCCGCCCGCCAAGTTTCTGATCCGTATAGAAGAAATGACTGACTTGACGTTTGTATTGAAGATCAGAATTTTGTTGTTGATGCTGACTTGGTGCAGTTGAATGTAAAGGTTTCAGTAGTCACTTTGCAAAGTTTGTATATATAAGAAATATATAAGTGAATTCTATGCTGCACTACTTTTTTTTGAACCCAAGTTATTCTGAGTCAAGTGTTTTGAATTCTGAAATACAGTCCAGTGGTTGAAATAATGGAGAAGATTTGTAGCTCAGGTGGATGATTTTGAATAAGTTGTGTTCTCTAAGCTAGTTGATTTAATTGCGAAGCTTTCGTCATCCTTCTAGACAGCATCGCTTCAGCGCAGTTTTCAGTATAAAATGAACTTATTTAAATTCTCAATGAATGATAGAGTTGTATCTCGTGACTACCATCGTCTTGATTTGTTACTAATTTACGTCTCTATTGTTAATTTTCATTGACTTGTAGTTTGAACTTTCTTGTCATGTGATTTAGTTTTTATTAGCTGGTGAATTTGGTCTACAGTAATGTGTTTGTTCAATTGCTAATGCACTTGAGTAACAGGTTTCTAGAAATTCCCTGGCATTTTTGATGTTTCCTTCATTTGACATTTCTACATTATCCCAATCAATTTCATGTCCATAATTATCCATACGCATTGATGCGAAAGAATAATAATAATAATATTAACAGCTTTATTCCAAACGGTATTTGTGGTACAGGTATGGAATTTTCAGCGTGCATTACAATATACTGCATCTAATTACCTCATAAATTTTATAAGATTTTTAAAATTAAAATTAAATAAAAAAAAAGAATATATACATATATCATGTCTTTTTATAGTCAGTTTGTGTTCTTGGATTCTGATTCGAAGGGGACGCGCCCAATTTGACTGATGTAGTGTTTATTGCAGTTCATATAGTTTATTTTGTAAATGGTATTAATTTTATCTTCCTTTTCTATTGGATCTTTCTGTCTGCACAATATTGTGTGCAGGGTGAATTTTCTTGTGGTCTTTGATGTTGACTTGTTGTTGGTGTGATAACTCGAGTTTAAACAATTTTTGATGGAATGGCGAGGATATCTATACTTTCTAAAGACGGTGAGCAGATATTTTTCCTCCATACTCTTCAACACCGGAGTGCTGCAGTATGTTGGAACTCTGTGAAACATTGTCCACACACAGTTTCTCTTGTGGGTAATTGGGTTATTACTAGCATAGTTGAGTATTTGATCTGTGTCCCTTGATTTTCTGTATGCTTGTGTTTCTAAATTTCCTGTATTAGTTCTCCTAATTAAGACATCTAAAATGGGATTTTGTTGTCTAATTCTTCTTCTCTTGTAAATTTAATGTCTTCAAATATGTTGTTTATTAATTTATGGGTATATTCCAAATCATTTCTCTTAATTATTAAGAATGTACCATCAATGTAACGTACCGAGATTTTTGGTTTAATTATAGGTAGAGCTATTAATTCTGATTTTTGCATAACGGCTTCGGCTATTAATCCTGATATGGGCAATCCCATTGGTGTTCCTTCTATCTATTCAGATATTTGATTATTGAATTGGAAGTATGTTGTAAGACATAACTCTGTGAGTTTCCATCCTAGTTGAACATCGCTCTGAAGACGTTGTTTAGGAGGGCGACGAAAGCGTCGCAATTAAATCAACCAGCTCAGATACCACAACTAATTCAAAATCCAGCCGTCACCTGTATTTTTGCGTGATAACTTATATGCCTGATTCATTTTACGAGAGTGATTACTGTATCAATGGACAGATTATGATGAGTGCTACTCATATAAGTTAACCGATGAACCAATCTCGTTACGACCACAGACGGCACATGTGAGAATGTCAAAAGCACAATCGGTAAAGCAAGATAGATTTTTATTACCTTGAAGTCAGTGTGGCAATCTGCTGCACTCACCAACTGCAAGGAACAAAATACGAACTTTTAACACTCTGTATCTAGTCAATGCTTCTGTGTGGTTCACCACAGGCTTGGCGTGTGCATGACGACTAGCGCCACTGCAAACTCATCAGCAACTGCCTTCTCTGACTCGGTAGTGAAGAGATCAGATAACCGACTGGAAATGATAAGCAACAGGGAACTGTGACGTTGAACTAGTCAAAAACCTGTTGCTCAGTAAATATACTGATGTAAATGGAGGGGTATTAGACATACTTTGAGGAGACTGTTGAGTAGCATCGCGCAGAAGAGCCTCAAGTGCAAACCGAATAGGGGACGCGTGACGCGTTGGGAGTGGGTCAAAGGGTGACATGGAAATGAAAGCTTTTGAACAGAGGGCATAATGAATTGGAGATGTGCTGTTGGAGCCCTATGTTGAACTTGCGACCCGATAGAATAATAGTAATGATGTACTGAGTCATTCATAACTTCAAAAAGGAATGGCAAGTATTATGATACAATAGGTTAAGATTTATAAAAATACTTTCATTGAAGTGGATCTGTAAAATGAAAACAAAACACATCGATCAGCGAACAGTCTCTTTTCGGCGAATTCATTTTCTTAACTGTACAATCGCAAATACATGTGTTATCTTGCATGTATGTGTACATTAAGTTTGTCAAACAAAAATACAATTGGTTATGGTTATTTTAACTAAACAGGTGAAACCCCAACGGGCTGATCTCTGACGAAATCTCACCACGAATACAGGGGGCTCGCTTCGTTTTTTCCAGTTTACGCCGACTCTGGCGTAGACGAGATGTTCGACTATCGACCAAAGGGCGGGTGTACTGCTCATCAGTCCACTCCGTCCTCCTTTATGGTTGCGAGACCTGGCCACTGAGAGTGAAGACATGAAAAGACTAGCTGTCTTTGATCATAGATGCCTGCGCTCTATTTCCCGTGTAAAGTGGCATAATAAGGTGAGCAACATTGAGGTTAGGCGTAGAGTTCTAGGTAAACAGGGGAAATCAATCGACGAAGTCGTGAAGCTACAAAGACTGAGATGGTTAGGACATGTGTTACGTATGCCAAGCCATCGCCTCCCTCGACGAGCAATGCTAGCTGATATAGGGTCAGGCTGGAAAAAAGCTAGCGGCGGTCAAACAAAAACTTGGCCACCAGTCAATGAAATCCACAACAGTTGGTCTAAGCCACGTAGGAAGGTGTAGACTTCCAGGCTGGGGTCCTCGGGATGGTAAAAATCTATGGTTGGAAACAATTGGTGACATGGCTCAAAGTGATCGTTCTCAGTGGCGCAGATGCATCCACTCCTTGTGACTTATGATCTCCAATGAAACTGTTTTGTTTTTCTTTATTACTCCTTTGTCTCACATCTCTGCTCACTGTCTCTATTATGCTTTTCTTGTACTTTCTTCTCGTGGTTTGTGTGCTACACGGAGTGTGGCGACTTGAACTTCCGCACATTTGTGCAAAGTTCTATGTCGAAAATAGACAGACAGACAGACAAACAGGTGAAGATTGGTAATTGGAGTTACGTAATACAAAATCAGTCAAGAAAACTAGGTGTTAATGAAATTAGGGTAGTAACAAAGGTGATAAGTTGTCACAAACAGTTGTTAAAAGAAGTTATGTAATAATATGAATAGTCTGATGAGTGAGTTTTACTCACCACCTTTGTTACTACCCTAATTTCTATGTTGAATCCAGACAGACAGACAGAATTTCATTAACACCTAGTTTTCTTGACTGATTTTGTATTGTGTAACTCCAATTACCAATCTTCACCGGTTTAGTTAAAATAACCATACCCAATTGTATTTTTCAAGTGTTTGTTTGTAGGGATTTGAATGGTTACAGGATTTCATCACGAGATGACATTAGCTAGAGAACCATTGAAAAACCAGCTTGGACAGCTGTTTCGTCCTAGTTTGGGACCTACAAACCAGCACTTGAATTTCAATGAGATGCTCACTAGCGACTTGCCCTATTCAGGTAGGTAGTTACCTGGGGTTCTAGTGAGAAGTGGTGACCAGTAGGGTGCAGCAGGTCGGGTGTGAGGACAAATACTCGCCAAAGACATTGTCTAGGAGTCGCGCTATGTCGTGAATTGGCAGAAGTTAGAATTCATGGGTCATTGGATTGGGTCCCAGTGGTTTACTGGTAAACGAGATACCTTGTAACCAGAAGGTCCTGGATTCGAACCGCGGTGGGTGCATACTGGTGAAGAGTCCCAAACTAGGCCGAAACAGCTGTCCAGTACTCCCAAGTTTTCCAATGGTTCTCTTACTAATGTCAACTCACAGTTGTATTTTTGTCTGACAAACTTATTGTACACATACATACAAAATCACTCATATATATTTGCCATTGTGCAGCTAAGAAAATGAATTCACCGAGAAGAGACTTTTCGCTGAACTACGTGTTTTGTTTTCATTAATGCCTGGATGGGGATTATCCATGAATCTGTAAAATGGCGTAGCTAATCATTTTCATTGTTCTATTTTCTTCTTTTTAAAAAAACATCAATCAGGTCGGCTAGATGATATGTTAAATGTCAGTGGTCATCTTATTAGCACAGCTGAAGTGGAAAATGCTCTTCTATTGGATCCAAATGTTAGTGAAGCTGCTGTAGTCAGTCGAAAACATCCACTTAAAGGAGAATGCCTGTATTGTTTTGTTACACTGAAAGATATTGAATCCACTGGTACTTCGACTGGTTCAAGTGGTGGTCAACTTACTCCCGAGATAAGAGAAAAGCTGGTTGATATTATCAGAAAGAGAATTGGCCCATTTGCCGCTCCAGATTACATTCAGGTAATACTTTTTGATACTTGAACGATGTTATTTTTATTATTCAGAACATGTGTACTGGTTCATTTTTACTATTACTCTCAAGTATTTTAAATGTTGGGAAAGACTTGAAGACTTGCAGGTGCAAATCAACAAACTGGCTGACGAAGCGGCGAAGATAGGACTCTAGGTGAACATAGAGAAGACAAAGGTGATGAAGATAACCAACCAGCACCAGTCGCCATCAACGGAAGAAAGAGATTGATAGAAGTTACTTCACTTCCTTCACTTATCTGGCTAGGAAGCACGCTTTCAATCACAGACAGTCGGATAACACAGATGAAGATGTCGAAGCCAGATAGCCAGAATTGGGAAGGCAAGCAAGACATGTCTTCATCAACCTGAAACCAGTTTGGAATTCTTCTACACTGACTCAGTCAGCCAGGATAAATAACGGGATTCAAATTCTGTTGGACACAAATGTGAAATCAGTCAGTCAGTTCTTCTATATTGGTCAGAATCTTGCACTGCATGTTACAAAAAGTATTTGCAACAAGTTAAAGATTTTTGTCGAAAGCTTCCCATTTCTCTGGCTAGCTCCATAATGAAGATCAAATGGCGGGCTGGCTGGCCTGACAGAAATAATTAGCAACAAGAAACTCTGACTGGGAACAAACTAGCGAAGAGCCGACTGCTCAACAAATATATATGGGAGAATGGAGATGTATTGGGCATACGCTACTGAGGAGGCCGTCGAGTGACATGGCTCTGAATGCAGGTCATTGCTCGAGTGGAATCCCAATGGGAAGCGACGAGTGGGTCGTCAGTGTGAGAGTGACATGGAGGAGATGGCGTGAGTTAGGGGAGGAGATGAGAGATTATGGTGAATCGTGCAGCTAGCCAGATGAAGAGAACAGCAGAGAATATAAGAAAGTGGAGATGTGTTGTTGAAGCCCTATGTTCCACTCAGAACCCAAGAGAATAACAATATTCTTTAGATTTTGTAAATGTTTGTGAATCACTTTTGACCTGAACTGCATAATTTTGATAATAATGATAATAATAGTTTTATTCTAAAAAGTATTTTTTGTACATTGCATTTAACTATCTCATTGCAGGGATAATAATTAAAACAGGGCGTTTACATTGATAATGTTGTTCAGTAAGAAAATGAATGTTAAATTAAATTACTTGAAAATATTAACAACAATGAAGATTCCTGGCCAACACCAACAGCAATAACAACAGACAACAATCAGCCAGAATAAATGGGAGGAACTTGAAAGAAACAACCTCCTTCACATACCTACCTGGGAAGCATCGTTTCAACTACAGGCAGAACTGATGAGGACATCAAAGCCAGAATCGGAAAAGCAAGACAGGCTTTCATTACCCTTAAGTCTGTGTGGAGGTCAACAGCACTCAGCATCAAAAATAAGATCCGGATTTTTAACTCCAATGTGAAGTCAGTGCTACTATACGGATCAGAGACTTGGCGCGTCATAAAGAGCATCTCAAACAAACTTTAGACCTTCATTACAGTTGTCTTCGCTCAATACTCAAGATCAGATAGCCGGCCAGAAAAGATCAGAAACGGATCTCTGGGAGCAAACCAACACAGCGGCAACCGATAGTGAAACAAATAGGCAGGAAGAAATGGAGATGGATTGGCCATACTGAGGAAACCATCAAGTGACATCACTAGACAAGCCATTGCTCGAGTGGAACCCGAAAGGGAAGCGGCTAGTTGGTCGTCAGTGCAAGGGTGACTTGGACGAGGTCTTGTGAAGAGGAGATGAGAGTATGTGGGCATGATATGTATCCACATAATATGTGTGTTTGTTTTTGACAGTCTGTTATATTTTGCTATGTATATATGGATCGATATTCCATTATAATTGACAATATGTTTTTGTCTGTCCACTAACTAAACAAACATGTCTGACCTTGTTGTCACATGGCATTACAACCAATCATGTTAAGACTGTCTATTGATTCGTTCATTTTTGAACATTCGCTCATACACTTGTTTGACAAATACAAGTATCATCGTGAACCTGGTGGTTTTCTGATTTTCGCCTTCTTGCGTTAGGGCTATTAATTACTCGACCAGTACATAACAGACTTGGAGCGGGGTGAAAAAGTCGGCAGAAAACCGAAGGCAATGGAGACTCGTAGCTGAAGCCCTATGTTCCTCTAGGAATTAAAGGATATAATAATAATAATGATAATAATAATTAACAACAATGTATGAATAGAAAAGGAAAACGAGGGGCCGTTTAGCACAGTTTTACCATACGTTCAGGGCTTATAAACACATAAGTTGATAGACAAGGCACTGGCCACAATAAGGCTTCAGCTGACAACCTGATTCCAAATAAAAGGCTTCGGAATTCGTCTCTTAGGAGAGAGCTATCTTCTTCATCCTGTTCGTCGGTGGCACAGCGGTTGGGACGCTTGCCGATTGACCATACACATGGTCCGGGGTCCGATCCCCTTCTGACGCACACTTGATATCAACGGTCAGCCTGTTAAATTTGGGCTACCGATATCACATGCTGAAAATTCCATACTTGTACCAAAATACTGTGTGGAATCAAGGTATAATAAAATGAACAAAAATAAATAAGCCCGGATAGTATCACAATCCCAAAATGAGATATGAAACGATAATTCGTTTTTGCCTCCCGACAGCCTGTCTATTACACGGTGTTGTGAGCTATATAAATAAATTCACTGTCAACACTCTTATTGTTATTCTCATGTATAATTAAACCTGTTTTATTTGTTTATTAGTATCATCAAACTTGACTATCTTTATTTCTGTCGTTACTGTACATAATTTTTGTCTGTAAGTTGCTAAGTAGCCATATTTAGGAAACTATCCGTGTAACCTTGGTTGTATGACCCAAGTGGTATCTACAGCTGACTATTATTATTTATTAAAACTGAAGCAGGTGATTGTATTAAAGGGGTGAGATGAGGGGGGGTTACTACTCCCCGAGCCCTTTGACTTGAAGTCTGATCCACAAAACAATAAAGTGGCACAAGGAAATAGGTTCCCATGATTTCCTGTGAATAAAACAAGTTCATTCTCCATTTGATACGTTTGGATTCCGGAGTCTGTGTATACCATAGACTTGGAATGAAAGTTTTCCAATTCTCCTGCGTAGACTTGCTTCTCCACTAGTCTGTTTGTAAGCACCAGATGTTCGGACTCACCGTTTCACTTTCTTGAGGAACACCCCCTCCCACCATAGTGAGTAGAACAGGTGGCCATATGAGAGTATTCGGAGAGGAAGACTCAATTCTATTTCATCCTCAACAGTATCAAGTCGTTTATGGAGGTATTACTCATTATTACTGTTTCATCAAAAACTTTAATTAAGTTTAGAAGTAACTGGCTGGTGAAGCGTATTTTTCTCATCTTCCATGCACAAATTGTTTCTAACTTGTATGCTTGATGATATACAGGTTGGACGTTTTGTCTCAGTAGAGAGTAGACCATATTCCTGACCGGCATCTTCCTCCCCCCACCCCCAACTATTCAAGCATATAGTCATTGGTCAGTCACAATGCAATCAGCAATCAGTGCTGTGTGTGCGTTTGCATACAGGAATTCTGTTCCTGTCGGCTTACTTTTGTGAACTGTAATCGTGCTTCTCTTTTTTAAAAATAAATATCTTTCAGGATAAATTAGCTGATGTTGAGGAAGAACACCGTAAAACATAAATAGTTAAATGAGTAACCAGAAGGTAATGTATAACTTTCCTCTTTTTATTGATCTGTTTTGTTTGTTCTTTCCTATGAAACTTTTTTTCTCCTCTTTTACTTATGTATATATAGAGTGCACCTGTATTACCAAAGACACGTAGTGGTAAAATTATGCGACGTATACTCCGCAAAATAGCTAATGAAGATTATACTTTTGGTGACACATCCACCTTACTGGATCATTCATGCTTGGATAATCTTATTAAACTTTCTAAATCGATACTTAAGTAACTATTACATAATCTAATTATATTCTGGAGGATACACATGCACTTAAACTGTTTTCTTTCATGGATGGATCCATATTTGACTACTTATCTCCTTACGTCATTCCTAAATGAGATAACGTTTGATGATGGATTCACGCTGTTAAATTAGCTGAAACAGACTTCATTATTCTGTTATTTTAATTAGCAGTGTTGATGGCTTCTCTCTCTCTCAGTTTATATTTATATTTAAGGAATTTTTATTCAATGTTTCCAGTTTGCTGCCTCTCACTGTCTTCTCATCATTGCCAGGACTAATGTTGGCTGTCATACACACACACACACACCATTCACACATATGTATTCTGTTTATTGCTTTTTTTTTTCTAAAATCACACTTTCTGCTTCTGAATTTTTGTTGTTTAGTCTTACTTACCCTTAAATAAGTAGCATTACCGGTATTCTACCTACCTACTCGGAATATATATATGTGTATGTATATATATCTGCACTTATGAATAACTGTTTTTATCCTTCTTACAACAACAAATATCTGTTATCATAAAACACAGTGCCCTTCAGCGTTGTCCACTCAATCCGCGCCCCCCTCTGAATCAAGCAAGAAGGTTGTGGGTGTCTCTTCATGTGACTGCCTTTTTCATTTCCTATATGTAGTAGAATAAATGAACTGCAATCTCATGAATTCACCCCCCCCCCACCATTTGAATATTCATCTTTATTATTATAATTATAAATGTTATCGGTGCTATTATTAATATTATTATTATCATTACTATCTTTGTTGTTGTTGCCCACCAAACGCATATTTTATTTTCGACATCTTCGAACGACAACACAACAACAACAACAACAGAAGCAAGCATTTCCTTTCATCACCAAGTTTATTACCATGTCAGTTTATGTTTTTATTCTGTCTGTCTGTCTCTCTCTCTCCCATCTTTTGTTTTTCTATCCAGTTTTTTGCAATCTCTTATATTGCTGCTTATTTTATAGTTCAAAAAGATTATCTATTTCATTGGTTGTGACCGCCTCTTTTAGTTTGCACCCCACCCCCCACTGTTTCTTTATTGCCGAACAGGGATATTGCCGTGTCCAATTTCTATATAAGAAGTTGTTTAAATAAATATAATCAAATTATATACGTAGTAAAAATATTGTTTTTTTTCTCTCGCCTTTATGAATGCTGTTCGAAAAGAAATGTTCTCTTTTTCTCATTCCTCGTGTTACGAGTGTGTGTGTGTGTGTGGGGGGGGGGGAGCGAGCATAGGTTTTCAGGCTTTCGAAGCATTTTTTTTCCATGAAATAGGATTGCTGGCTTTTGCCTCAACTTTCTGTCTTCCCTAGGCGTACTACTACTACTACTGTAACGACAGAAGACAAGGGTCAGGCAACAGATCGTTTATTAAGGAAATCAACACGTATTTATTATATTTTCATGTACATTATTATAGCTTATTCAAGCGAGCAAACACAGTCTTCTGATTGGTTGTTTCCCACAGAAAGTTAATCTTGCATCTCTTTGTGGCTGTTTCTTGAATGGCTCCGCCTACACAGAGCCTTTGTTCTCATTTTTCTCACTACCAATACTAGGGACATAAACATTGACGTAAACTGCTGCCCACCAATTTCGGCTAACAGCCAGCTCTCATCACACTACTACTGGTTAGTTGAGGTTTAGAGGAGTACATCGGTTGGGAATGAAGGTCGCTGATGAGCATTCTGCTACTGAACCATTGATGCATAAAGTGTAGATGCAGCATAATCGTGTGTGACATAACAGTCATGAACAACATTGTTTACTGAAATCCCTTTTTGGTTGTTTATCATCATATGCAATCTGAAATATGCCACGCGTTCACTGTGTATATTACGCTGGGTGGAGTAGGAGTATGGACGCTTAAGTAGTATAGAAGCGAAAAGGTCATTTCCTTTAGTTTCACTTAGGAATAGTACTACTGTATATGATTCTTAATTTGGTGATACTATTTTATTTCTTTAACTAATTGGATATTCTTCTCTTTGAATAATCTCATATGTCTTAACTATCCCATCTATTTTAATTGGAGACTGACTAGTGTTATACGTCTAGTCCTTTGCTTTGCTGTGGACTGATTTCTGTTAGTCAAGTTTGCAATGTGGTCATCGACTAGGTGGCCCTCCATCACGATGCATTCTAAATTGTTATTTTTAGATGGTTACAGGCAATCTGTAGGAAGCTTTAGACCTAGGTTTCGTGCTTGTGGGCACTTATTAGCAATGCGTATACGCAATCTTGATGGAACGATTGTGAGTGCACCCTAATAGCGTGGCACATAGCATGGTGGCCACATTGCAAGCTTTTTCTTCCCTTCACGTTCTCCAGTGGAACATAGGGCTTCAAGCTAGTGGCTTGAAGTTTCTGTAACAGTGTTTATTTTACAGGATGGGGTTGCTAGCCAGCCTCATGCCTAACCTTTCCTCTTTATCAGCATTATTTCTGGCTTAGCGAGGTAAAGGAGTGCCTCTGTGGCTGGGGATAGAACCCCGGACAATGTGCATGGTCGGCGAGCGTCCTAACCGCTATGCCACCGACACACACATTGCAAACTTGACTGATAGAAATCAGTCTGCATCAAAACAGAGGACTAGACGCGTAACATTATTTAGTTTTCAACCAAAGTATTTGATATTATTATTATACAATCCTACAGGAGGTCAATCACGAGCCCGAATAGCTCAGTGGTAACGTCTCTGACTACAGCATTGGGGTGACATGGATTGGAATCTCATAAGGGACACAAATTCCTTCAAGGTTACAGATACGCCTTGTTGATTGGTGAGTGCTAATAGGTCAGGTTGGACTTCCTTCCGATTGCCTTTAACCATCTAATAGGTCATCTATTATTTTTAAATAATGATATGGCATAGCCTAAATGCTTGAAGATTGAATTAGCGCCACTTGGACACAAGTAAAACCGAAGATTTCCTGATGCAACAGGCCACATACGAGAACGTAAAATCCTGAAAATACAATTATGCAGGTTTAACTTTGAAGCCTATATATGACTATGAAGTAGAATTTACTGTCGTAGACCAGAAAAAACTCTGAAACCATTCAACAGATACCTCATAAAAATTTTCTAATTCATAATATAACGTTAAATATCAAAATAATAGATAGCTTTTGTCATTACGTGTACATGACAACGCTACACGATATCCATCGTTGTCAGGGTGTGTTGTAAACCCGTTGCATTTTTTGGCGCTGAATTTAAAAAGATTCTAGTGAAACCGTTACTGGCATTCAATTGATTGAAGCGAAGAACATTAAACAATCAATACTTTGCGAAACAATAGTTTACTTTCATTATTTACAAAGAAGTTATGATTGCTGGATTAAATTGACAATTTGCAAGTGAATTCACGATTTACATGCTACGCCATTTCGTGACCATTTCCTTTGGGAAATGCTATTATTTAGATCACAATATATGATCTATTTGTTATCAGAAACGGCGATCAAGAAAGCAAACACAAATGCATGATTGTGTTGGATGATTTGAACTGGTGAGTGAAATGCCCATCCGGCGTTTAACTCACTAACATCTGGCTAATAGGCACTACTAGCTGATGTTACTGGTATCCAGGCAATTATATGAATCAACCAACAGTATGTAACATCATAAAGGAATAATTACTTACTGATGGTTACAGGTTTCATCACGAGTTGATATCTGTAAGAGAACCTGAGAGTACTGGACAGCTGTCCCGTCCTAGTTTGGAGCTCACCGACAGTATGCACTCCCTAGAACTCAAACCCATGATCTTCAGATCACAAGAAAAGCTCGCAGACCATTCAGTCACTGGGACGCGACTTAATGGCCTTTGAATAATAATAATAATTTTGCTTTTATTCCAGAAACAGTACTAGTGGTGCAGTGTGGAATTTTCAGCGCGCATCTGCAATATTGCATCCAACTTCATCGCACATTTAAAAGGAGTATTACAAAAAAGTATAAAACAGCAACAACGAAAACCAAAAAGAAAAGCAAAAATAACAATAAATGCAAATAAAAATATCAAGTAGAAAGGAAGATAAACACCAATAATGAAAAATATTTCAGTATTTGGTAGTGGAAGCTATGATATGTGTATGCGTGATGAACAGTAAAGCTATAATCATACAGGAAGTTATGAGATTTTCTTAAGAATGTTTGTAGCCAAGATGATCAGTTAATCTGACTGAACAACACTAAACAATCATAAAACAAACATTTCAGGGTTTTTTATTGTCAGCTCTAATGCGGTGTCTGTAGTGGTAGTGTTAGTAATCATGCATAATACAAAAATTTTATGATTGTGATAATGGCATTCACAACCAAGATTGTCAGTTTTAATATTACCGAACAAAATAAAACAATCACAAAACTAATTGAATTCTGACTTCTACTAATTCGTGATCTTAGTGCGGCCACCGGCCAATGTAATCTTCAAGTATTTGTCCTCACTCTCGACCTGGTGGATCCCACTGAACAGAACTCCAGATAACTTCATCCTGTACTCAGTCACTAGTGAGCGTAGGATTAACTTTTTAGTGTTGTTCAGTGGGGATTTAATTGACTCTTGTCATAACATGAAAGTCATAGGTTCGATCTCCGCTCCGTACTGCTCAGGATTCTCAAAATAAGATGAAACAGGTGACAAGTACTCTCTAGTCTTCAGAGGTTCTCTAAATGATGTCATTTCCTGATTAGACTTGAAACTAATCAAATCCGTGCCAACTCACACTCCAGTATAAAGGTTTTTTTTTTCCAAAAGGCTCTCTCCGTTTTAATAATCTGCTTGAATGATTATGTTAAATAGTGGGTATTTGAATATCCCCCCTATATCGTTTCCTGTCATAAATAATAATAATCCGAAAACCACTAACCATAAACAGGATGTCATGTGAGTATGTTGGCCTCAGAAAGCTGTCTTATCGCTTTACATGATAATAGTATAGAGGTCATATGATGACATTTTGAA